ATGATGACGATGGCGATGAATCGCCCTCTCCGGAGCCCCGAACGGACTCCAGATCAGCCCTCCCGAGAGACATTAGGGCTTGGCGGCGGCTCCGTATCGTAAAACGCGATGAAACTTTCTCTTTGATTTTTTTCTCCGTGAAAGCAAATATATGGAGTTGGAGTTGAGCTCGGTGGACGTCCAAGGGGCCCACGAGGCAGGGGGCGCGTCCCGGCGTGCCCCCCACCCTCGCGGACAGGGTGTGGGCCCCCTGACGCTAATTATTTCGCCAACATTTTTTGTTTATTCTGAAAATTTGCTTCGTGGATTTTCAGGTCATTCTGAGAACTTTTATTTCTGCACAAAAATAACACCATGGCAATTCTGCTGAAAACAATGTCAGTCCGGGTTAGTTTCATTCAAATCATGCAAGTTAGAGTCCAAAACAAGGGCAAAAATGTTTGAAAAAATAGATACGACGGAGACGTATCAGGGTCAAAGAATAGGTATAAGAGATGGTAAGAATGGCGAAAGACTACATATCTTAGTTACCAGAAGTTGGGTGATCAAAGCAATCTACATGATGCATCTCTGCCTACGTAGCTTTGCTTACCAGAAGTTGGGTGATCAAAGCAATCTACATGACACGTCTCTGTATATGTAGCTTTGCTTAGCATAAATTGTTCTCATGACTTTCTTCTAGCCCATGAACCTATCGTCAATGTAATATATTAGGCTATGTATGAGCTATTTCCTTATGTTTAAAGAATATCAGTCTCTAAATATTCCAACTTGCATGGTTTGACGACATGATTTACTCACGCCCTTTGCGCCATCGGTGCAATGGGTCATCTAGTAACCCTAGACAAAAGATCGAGGTCCGTAGAGGGAGGAGCGGCGCATGGTTTTTCTTTCCTTTTGTAATTATTTGTAAAGAGATATACCGGTGAGAGGGGTGGTCGGAGATGGGACGGAAAAAAAACCGGATGGAAAACCCCGGTGTACCAAGCTACCAACTCCTTCATTAAAAATAGAGATGAGGCCGATAATAGAAACCAAAAATAGGTAATAATTAATTGTGGCATTCAATATATACTATACGGGCATAACCTGCATGCCAGCTCAGACGTCATAATTTTAATAGGGATAATATTTTATACGTATTAATACTTTCCTTCTCAAAAATAAAATATTAGATATACATTAATATTATCCCTAAATAGGTCCGTTTGATTAGTATATATATGCCATCTTGTTGCCTTAGCAACAGAACATTAGTCCGTTACATCAATATCTCGATAGCTTGTCCACTATATTGTGAAGGACGATGTCGAAAGTTGTGGCAGTAGTGATGGTTCTTAGTTTGATGATGACCAGCTCGGCCGAACACCAGGAGCGAGTAGTGGTAGCTATTCCAATAGAAGGAACCAGTCAAGGATGGGTGCGCTATTCGGAAACTCCGACGTACTCTACTACATCGCCGTCACTCGATGGCGCACATCCCAATTGTGGGGGTCGTGACCCAAAAAATTGCCCTCCGCCTCCTGCATGGTGACAAGTTGTACTTTTTGTGATGCTTGCTGTGCTGAATAAAACATTGTCCATGCTATTGTTTTCTTAGGAGAGTTCTAATACTACATTTTTTCGACTTCAACTTTTCTCTCGGTGTTTTCCTTGTATTAAATATGAAAAAACAAGTTCTTCAGCTACTGCAAAAAATGATATAGCCGGGGGCTCATCAGGGACATGCACATATATTGCTCGTCACCGGTAACTTGAAAATTTACGGGTGGCAAACAAAATTCCCTGTTCACCGGTGGTAAGTGCTTACCGCTGGTGAGCCTTGATAACTAGACAGTACCCCCACGTATTGCAGCGGGATGGTAACAATTTAAAAGAGAGGGGCACACGGTAAGGAGAAAACAAGTAAGAAAAAAAAATAAGATGATGAGTGGTGGAGAATTAAACGGTAAGAGATATGGGACGCGCACATGCCTGACCCTGCTGGGTAGTATGATACTACGTCCATTTCAGTTTACAAGTCCTGTGTGTATACCTAGGTTGACAATTCTACCACCCTAATATAAACTATATAACACAAAAAATATATCTTTTGAAAGTAGAAACTCCGAAGTTTATGTTGGTATATTTTTTTGTAATATATGAATTGTATTAGGTTGGTCAAATTGACGACCTAGAGGTACGCGCACGCCCTGTAAACTGAGAGAGAGGTAGTACTGCGGGAGAAGGTGGGCCAGATGACCTGATCGAGGTGGCTTCATTGTGTTGCACGCGGCAACATCCTCAGCGGCAGTGCGCCTGCGACCGCGGCACCCCCGTCCGATTTGGCCGGCATGGTCTATGACATGTAGCTCGGGCCGGACTGGACGCGGCGATACTATCTCCCATGGAAGGACTCGGGAGATAGTACCACTAATAATGACAAGCGATAAAAAACAATAAATATTGGTAGAACATTTTCTTTGGAAACAAATGAAAAAAAGAAAAGAATACAGCACAAAAGTGATGCACCATTAGCACTTGTTATTTTTTTCCTCACCATATCTTATATTTCTTTGTTATGCAAATGCGATTGCACATTGTTTTCTACTGAGTAACTAGATTGTCACCAGGCTTGGAAAGTAAGTTGTTAAATCGTAGCTATATGCACTTTCTTTTGGGTACTTAACATGTGTGTTTGAGTCCGGATGATGATATGTCAAGTCATGCATGATAGCCTCATGCCTAAAACCTTCTATGCTTTTGCTATCATACATGAGATTGTAAGATTCTCTTTGGAACAATATGCGGTCACTAGACATGGTTATCAGGTGTACATGACATGGGGGCAACGGGAGGGATGGGAGGGGCTGGAGGAGGGAGGCGGGTGAAGGAGGAGATCTAGAGGCTCGAGGCCTCCTTTGAAAAATCCAGCACCGGTAGCCTCTGACTGAGTTTCAGTCAATAGTCGCTATAAATTTCCGGGCAAATTACGGCCTCGCTAGAATAGGTTAATATTCCAGTCACTAGTCCATCTAGTCATTCCGATTCATACTCGACAGCTGACATGTGAACTCCAACACACCCTCAACTACTCGGAAGCAGGCAATTGTACCAGGATTCCAGAAACTGCATTAGTTAATCATATGGTTACGTGATCAAACAAGTGGGGATGCTGGAACGGGTCGTTCGTCAAAGCATGCTTTTGCTTCTAGACCAAGGCTTGGTAATAGAAGTACTCCCAGTTATACCTTGGCATACCCTGGCTCCACAATCGTCTCCGATGGTGGTGCTTTTGCCTTGGGCTTCTTCGCCCCCTCAAACTCCACTCCGGCCAAGCTATACCTTGGCTTATGGTACAACAACATTCCTGGTCTCACCGTCGTGTGGGTCGCCAACCGAGAAACTCCGGCCATCAACACCGCACCCTCAGCACCGACCCTCTCCCTCAACAACACCTCCAATCTCGTCATATCCGACGGTGACGATGGCAGCCGTGTCGTCTGGGCAACAGCCAACATGGGAGCCGCTGCCTCAGGCTCGTCTCCCCCGACGGCAGTGCTTCTGAATACGGGCAACCTCGTGGTCCGGTCGTCAAACGGCACCATTCTTATGGCAGAGTTTCGACCACCAAACCGACACATTCCTTCCTGGGATGAAGCTCGGGATAAAGTACAACACGCATGGCGATAGGGACGAACGCCTGGTATCCTGGAAGGGCCCCGGCGACCCCTCGCCGGGGCGCTTCTCCTACGGCGCTGACCCGGTGACGTTCCTCCAATTATTCCTCTGGGATGGAGAGCAGCCAGTGGCCCGCAGTGCCCCGTGGACGGGGTACTCGGTTAGTGGTGACTACCTTACGGGGAACATTAGCACGGAGCTCGTCATCTACCAGGCTGTCGTCGACAACGACGATGAGATCTACGTCACCTACAGCCTCTCCGACGGCGCCCCTAACACCAGGTATGTGCTCACCCACTCCGGTGAGTTCCAAATCCAGAGCTGGAGCCGCAACACATCGGCGTGGGTAGTCCTTGGGAAGTGGCCGTCCCATGAATGCAACCGCTATGGATACTGTGGCACGTACGGCTACTGTGATGAGACGGACTCGCCTGTGTACACGTGCAAGTGCCTTGACGGCTTCGAGCCGGCGAGCGAGGAGGAATGGGCTGTCGGCGGAAGGAGCAGCTGCGAGGGTGTGGCGATGGCTTCTTAGCACTGCCAGGGATGATGTCCCCAGACAAGTTTGAGCTCGTCGGCGGCAAGGATATAAATACATTCGGTGAGTGCACGGCGGAGTGCAGCCGCAACTGCTCCTGCATGGCATATGCCTATGCCAACTTAAGCAGCGGAAGTACCGGAAGAGGCAGGACGATGTGCTTGGTGTGGGCTGGAGAGTTGGTCGACACGGGGAAGATTGGCACGGTGCTTGGTAGCGACACACTTTATCTCCGTCTTGCCGGCCTTGATGCTGCAGCTGGTACCAGACCTCAATATCACCCGCTTTCTACTACTCCCTATATTGTTCAATATAAGTGTCACAGTTTTCAACTCAAAACTGCAAAACTGCTACACTTATTTTATTGCATCGGTGGGAGTACTAGTTTCGCTATTAATTTCTCCTCCTTTATATATTTTTATTCGTTCTTCATGTTTCTACTGTTGGTTTTGTGTTTGCTATTTTTTTCTATTAGTCATTTGTCTTATGTTATATGTATGTATTGCATAGGTAAAAGTACAAAGAGCAATAAAATAAGGATTGTACTGCCAGTTTTAGGCGGTATTTGTGTTCTCGTACTCATAAGCTTCTGCCTCGCATGGTTAAAATACGAAGGTATGTTTATTTCAATGTCGTTAGGAAGAAGTCATATTTTACCATCTTATGAGAATATCCATTTGGCCATCTGAACTGGAGTTCATTGTCTACTACAATAATATGCCTAAATAAACAACTAAAATATGTAAGATTACAGCAAACAGAAAAATTTAGGTGGTTCGTCATTTTGCCATGGGTGGCACATATGCCTTGTGGGTTCTTTCCCATGCTTGTATTATGCTTGTTGGATGAGAAACCACTATATCATTGTGGTGACAATAACATTGTGCGGACAGGTAAAAACAAAAGATGGAGAAAGCACATGAGTATTTGGTTGGATGATATGAGTACCACCGATCAACGTGGGGAAGAAAACCCTCCCCATGGTGATGAATTTCCATCTTTCAGATTCGAACAAATTTCCCTCGCAACACACAATTTCTCCGAAACATGCATGATCGGACGGGGAGGGTTTGGCAAAGTTTACAAGGTACCTCACGAATATCATTAGTTCTAAACTAGGAGATATAATTTGTTCCATATGTCAAGCTCAAATTAAACTAAGATTTGCATTGCATATCTCTAGGGAATATTAGGTGGTCAAGCAGTTGCCGTGAAGAGGCTAAGTAAGGATTCTCAACAAGGAACAAAGGAATTCAAGAATGAAGTAATTCTAATAGCCAAATTGCAACACAGAAACTTGGTTCGTCTTCTTGGATGTTGTGCCGAGGGAGGAGAAAAGCTACTGATTTATGAGTATCTGCCTAATAAGAGCTTAGATGCCACAATTTTTGGTGTGTATTCTTGCAACAAAAAATGCATTAAGATGCTAGAAGAAAAATCTTATTCTGGTTCCTTCTATTTACAGATGATTCAAGAAAATTGTTGTTGGATTGGACAAAACGGTTTAATATAATAAAAGGAGTCGCTAAGGGACTTCTCTACCTCCACCAAGATTCAAGACTGACAATAATTCATAGAGATCTCAAAGCTGGAAATGTTTTGCTAGATGCAGAGATGAAACCTAAGATAGCAGACTTTGGTATGGCCAGGATCATCGTTGATAACCAACAAAGTGCAAATACCCAACGGGTTGTCGGAACATAGTGAGTATCCATTGGGTGTTAAATCATATTAATTTTGATAAATGCAACTCCAATCTGACAACTCTTATAACTGAAATGATCAAGCAGTGGATACATGGCTCCTGAGTATGCAATGGAAGGTCTCTTCTCTACCAAATCTGATGTCTACAGCTTTGGCGTGCTACTACTAGAGGTTGTGACTGGTATAAGGAGAAGCTCAAATAGTCAAACTATGGGCTTCCCAAGCCTCACAGTCTATGTGAGTATGTGCAAAACTTATCTCTAGTTTTATTTATGAAATTAAGCAGTTCAAAACTCTGAAGCATTGACAAACAAAATGAATATTGATATGATTTTTCTTATTTTTTTTCTAGTCATGGAATATGTGGAACAAAGGGAAGACTGAGGATTTGCCGGACTCATCTATTATGGATAACTGTTCACCAGATGAAGTTTTGCTTTGCGTCCATGTAGCACTCTTATGTGTCCAGGAGAACCCCGATGACAGACCACATATGTCATTTATTGTGTTCCTCCTAGAGAATGGAAGTACTTCACTTCCGCCCCCCGATTGCCCCGCCTACTTTGCGCGACAAGGTGCTCAGATGGAGCAAAACAGAAATGATATTCCAACTTTGACAAATAGTTTTACACTTACCGAGATAGAGGGGCGATGAAATAAGGCATTTTTAGTTTTAGATAAGTCAAAATGCTCTCAAAAGAAAACTTTGAATGTATCACACGCTATTTCCCATTTTAAAATAATTGCACACTACCGACAAATGTGTGGCTCAGTAGAATCTTTACACATCATGTGTTGTCTAGAAGTCATCATTGTTGAATGTGTTCTCTATTCTAGTTTTGGTAGGGATGCAAGTGGGGAAGCAAAACCGTGCCTCTCTTTGAAGGAAAAAAAACAGAAACCATATTTTTTCCCTTTCCGAGAAAGGCACGGTCGTACCTCTCGTGGAAGAAAAAAGAACAAAAAATGTGTTTTTTTTTGTTTCCGAGAGGCACGGCCGTGATTCTCGCGAAAGCACAACCATGCCTCTCGCGGAAGCAAAACCGTGACTCTCGCGGAAGGAAAAAACAAAAAACACATTTTTTTTCGTTTTCGAGAGGCACGGCCATGATTCTCGCGAAAGCAAAACGGTGCCTCTTGCGGAAGCAAAACCGGGACTCTTGCGAAAGGAAAAAATAAAAATAAAAAAGCGTATTTTTTCGTGCAAATTTTTTTTGGATTTTTTTGTTCAAAAATTAAGGAAGACCAGTGGAAAACCGAACGTAAAAAACCCCAAAAAAATCATTTTAAAAGAAGGAAACGCGTGCGAAAGAAAAAACAATTGTTTCATTAGATTACTCGTTGCATTTGAATGAACATTTTGTAATAATATTGTTGAATCATTTGATGTCAAACTAGACTAGTATGATGGATAGAAGAAAACATAATAAAACAATTATGAATATTGCATATGGCAACAATGATGATTATGTGTTTGCACACGACCTTAAAACACAATAAAGCGCCATCCAGAAACTTTACGTTTTTAAATGCTGCAAATACGACAACTCCGAGTTGAAGTTGCTCTAATCCATATCAAGCCAGAGCAAGGATACTGTCTTTTTTCCAGGGTGACCAAAGATAATATCAACAACAAAAAAAGGTAAGATAGGATATCATGTGGGCATGAAGACCGCCGATAGCTGCCAAGAGACCTTCAATATATTTTTTGAAGAAAAAAGCTCAAAATGTGCATCTAAAGTGAAACCTTGAAGAAAGGAATGTTAAATACTGTATATAAAAAGACTTCTTTAAAAAAATAAAAGGAGCGAAACTGGATGGAAGACCTGTGGGCCGTAGCACGCGGCCGAGCGACATGGCAACATTGAAGCACCGGCCGTCATAACGGCACTCCGATTCCGTTACAGCCGTCACCACACCTGCTCGACCCTAACGGCGTCGGCAGTGTGAAGTTGAGCACGCGCCGCTTCATTCCCCATTCTCCTCGGCACAAGCGTCCCGTTCCCAGCGCCGCCACTCAGATCCAAAACGAGTTAGAGAGGAAAAGGGGAAGGGGAAACCGGCGGGCGGCGGCGGCGGCGGAGGAGGAGGAGGAGGCGAGATGGTTGGAGATGGCTGGCGCAGGCGGAGTGGAGGATGCGGTCCGTACTATGTCCCGATCGAGCCGTGCAAGAGGAAGAAGCAGCCGCCATCGGCAGCGGAGATCATGAGGGCTGAAGCCCGCGGCCAGCTCACCCGTCTCCGCGGCGTGATCCTCAACTGCGAGGGGTGCCTCTCTTACTTCCTCCACTCCATCGAGCACCAGGTCCGAGACCCGCTCGAGCTAGCCGCCGACTTCGCCGCTGCTGCTGCCAAGGCGGAGGCGGAGGCGCGGGACTACAACGAAGGGTTCAAGCTTCAGGCCGGTGATGAGTATTACCTGAGCTCCCTGAACTTCTTCGCGCCGTCTGTGGGGGCCGCCTTCGCCGGGTTCTGGGGCGTCCGCTGGCTAGATTGCGCCGAGGATGGGCTTCTTGAGGTTCTTCGCTACTTGGAGTTGAACCTCGAAATCGACGTTGATCAGTGCTTTGTGGACCGCACGAGGGATGCCTTCGACCATGTGAACAACGCCCAGGCTTGCTTGATTCGAGCCCATGCTTCCCTCCGTCCAGGTGAGGACGCCTCCTTTGTTCACCATCTAAAAGCTACCATGGGACACATCGAAGCAGCTGCCTTGATTCTCCGTCATCAACTGTACATCTCGCGCTTGACACGGACCCTGTTCGCTTCCATTAGGTCCACCACCTAGTGAGAGTCGTCAGAGCAACACCTAGCCTTATGTGAATTTGCCAGTTTTGCACCGTGATAAAAGTAGCACTATATCAATTGCCTGTGGTTGAGTACTCAGTTCCATTGAATTTTAGTTCCAAGAGAACCTATCTCATTTCAATTTCATCCTTCCAAATCTGGAAGAGAATATAAACTCCTTATAAGGCTGCTGTAACAGGTCATGGTAGTGTTGTGAACCTATTATCCATAGAACATGTGCCATGGCCCATTATGCTTTGGTATCGGCGGTAGCGTGAGTTGTTCCATGGTTGCTCTACATGCCATTTTATTGCGCTCCCTACTCTGATTTCATATTTAAGACTGCAACCTTGATGTATTACCATGTTGCTCTGGTCTTTTTTCTCCATAAAAGTAACGAGTTTTTGTTTGTTTGTTTGGCGTAAGCTGAATGATTCGGTCCTTTTGTTACCTAATGAAGTCATGACATATTCTTATCAATATAGGACATGGGCTGGCCTCTCACTTTGTAGAGGAGCTATTTACTTCCATGAGATCCATCTCTTAACCATCCTCTATTCGTACGCAGAGATCTGGTGATTTCTGGGGTTATGTTCTGTGGGCATTTTGTGCGATTTCTGGGTTCCAGTATTGTGAACAAAATGTGCAGAGAGCAGGAGTAGAAGGCAGGTGGGAGGTGATTTCTTCAAAGTAGTTGATAGCGGGTGGCTATGAGGTCATTGGACCTCTTCTGAATGTTATTCTTGTGGTTTACTTGTCTTGATTATTTGGGGGATCAACAACTACAGATATAAGTAGTTGTCATTTTAGTGCTACTCCCGTGCCTTGTTCCCAAATAGGCTTCCTGCATGCATAATCTCACAAGTAGATATATATTACTTTAGTTACTTAACAGCGTGCTACCACCCTTTCCCTAATTTTGTGTTTGGTTTTAGGTAGTGTTCAGCTTTGCCATAGACCCATAGTGTGTGGCGGTCGGGGCTCTCTTATAGTTGTTGCTTTGCTTCATGCATGGCCTGCAGATCTTGTCATCAATCTTGCTAAACTTTTACTTGTAAATGACATTTTGAAAATCAAGGAGAAGCAGGAGTTTATACGATGCTCTATTTGCATGTCTTATGCGTTATGTGGCTAAATAAATGCTGCTCAGATAGCAGCAAAGCACATGCTTCCATCCCTTGATTATATTAATGGAATTTGATTGGTGCCTTTTGCTATCTTAATCTATCAGGTTGCTTGTAGGCTTGTAGCTATCTATCTGAGCATTTCTTCCCTATTTTTTTCATTAGGTTCCTTTTTGTGCTTGTATAAACAATACAACCCCTGGTATCTAATTACTTGTCATTTTATTGCTCTCCCTACGTACTCTTATTTCATATTGCAACCTTGATGTATTAAGATGCCGGTCTGGTTTGATCTCTCCGTATAAGTAATGAGTTTTTTTTGGCATAACATGAATGATTTAGTCCTTTGTTATCAAATGAAGTCGTGATATATTGTGACCAACATGGGATATGGGTTGGCCTCTCACTTTTGACAGGTGCTATTTGCTCCATGAGATCCATCTCTTAGCGAGATCTCATTTTCTATTTGGTCACAGAGATCTGGTGATTTCTGGGGTTATTTGGTCTGAGGATTTTGTGTGATTTCTGAGATCTTGTATTGTAAACAAAATGCCCAAAGAGCAGGAGGAGAAGGCAGTTGGGCGGTGATTTCTTTTCAAAGTAGTTGATAGTAGGTGGCAATGTGGTCATTGGATCTCAGCTGAATGTTATTCTTGTGGTTTACTTGTCTGGATTGTTTGGGGAGATGTGTTATCAATTATCATTTCAGTGCTACTCCTGTGCTCTTCTTATGAGATAGCTTCCTGCATGCATAATCTCACAAATGGATATAGTTTGGTTGCTTAACATAATGCTACTGCCCTTTGCCTAATTTTATGTAGTGTTAGTGTGTGGTCTTGCTCATTAGTGCATTGTGGTTGGGGGCTCTCTTCCGGTTGTGTTTTGGTTCATATACGCATGGCCTGCAACTTTGTCATTAATCTTGCTGAACTTTTAGTCATTAAGGAAATTCGAAAATCAAGGAGAAATGGTATTTTAAATGACGCTCTATTTGGATGTCGTATGTGATTTGTGGCTAAACAAAGGCTGCTCAGATAGCAGCAAGCTCATGCCATCCCTTAAATAGTGGCATTTGATTGCTGCCTTTTGCTATCTTAATCTATCAGGCTGCTTGTAGCTATCTATTTGAGCATTTCTTCCTTGTTTTTTTATTAGATTTTCTTTTTGTGCTTGTATAAACAATACCCCCCCTGCTATTTAATTGCTTTTTAAGTTGTAAATGAGAGTCTTAGAGATGTATACATCTTTTTTTTTTTGCATGTTTCCTCACTTGGTGTGCATGGTTTATGTTGGATAGTACTGTTTATTGGCACTCTTGGCACGTAACCTGTTTGCTTCCATTAGGTCCATCGCCAAGTGAGTACCTTAGGAACACCATCTAGCCTTATGTGGGTTTACCCATTTTGCACTGTGATGAGAGTTGAACTATATTGGTTGACTGTGGTTGAATACTCAGTTTCATCCTTTAAATCTGGAAAGAGAAACTCCCTTAGGCTGCTACCTCCGTATTTCGAAAAAATTAAGACAAGTAATTTGGGATGGAGGGAGTATTATATATCTATCCATAGTATTACATGTGGCATAGTCCATCACCCTTTGTTATTGGCAGTAATGTGAGCTGTTCTATTTGTCATATTATTGCTCCGCCCGCTGTTATTTTTCATATTTAAAAGTTGCATCTTTGATGTATTAAGATGTTGCTCTGGTCTGATTTCTCTGTAGAAGTAATGAGTGTTTTTTTTTC